GTTCCATCTGGGAACAGCTAATAAAAAAAAATCATACTCCTAGACTCAAATATATTTTATCGGGTGTTTGTCTTCAGGAAGAAAATTGAACTTTTTATTTTAATTACACAAATACATATCATTAAAACAAATACTAAAGTTTCATGAATGTAAATAGGGAGCAACTCTGTTAGTTAATGGAGTTACTCTGGATTTACACCCTTCCATCTGGGAACAGCTAATAAAAAAAAATCATACTCCTAGACTCAAATATATTTTATCGGGTGTTTGTCTTCAGGAAGAAAATTGAACTTTTTATTTTAATTACACAAATACATATCATTAAAACAAATACTAAAGTTTCATGAATGTAAATAGGGAGCAACTCTGTTAGTTAATGGAGTTACTCTGGATTTACACCCATTTAACTGACATCAGAATCTGCCCCAGTAGGTCTCTTCTTTAAGATCCCCAATCCAGTAAGGCACATGCTTAACTTTAAGTACATGGTTTTAAATCTTACTGATTTTAATGGGACTTAAGCGCTTGATTCAAGATATGGGATGGGGATAGAGGTCCTTTAATTGCTTTGTTGCAACAGAATCTACACCAGTTAGGAGGCAATTGGTAGAATAATATTATGAGCTTCTGTCGCTCACCTGCTCCAACAGCTAGTGATAAGCTAATAAAAACTATACCAGTCATTTTGTGCTCTAGAAATAAAATCCAGGGTCTCCAAGTTGCCAGCTAGGAAAATGAGTGTCTTGGCTTTGCCCCAAAACGTTTATGGTGAATGAACACCTTTGATGTCACCTCAAGATTTATCTAGCAGCTCAAGACCATTGCCTTTTGGACCTGTACAATTCCAGGGACATTGTATGTTAAACCCAGGGATCATTTGCAAGTTGCAAAGCATATAAACAGCACCAGCCCTGGAGAGGCCATAGAATACCACAACATTTACTTCAAGAAGCCACTAGCTAGAATATGTAGCCTGTCAAAACCAGTGGTGCAAATAAACAACATTTCTTACTAGTATGGGAGGTGAGGGCTCACCAGTTAATGAGAGGCTATGTGACCTCTCCACATGACTCTGCCCCATCCCCAGTCTGGGACCCTGTTGTGGTTGGAAGACCATTGTATTTCGAGGAGTTAGTGACTCTTCCCAGTTCTCATGTTTGCAAACTAGAAAACGGGCTTTGGCCTGCTGTTAGCAAGGAAAATTCCCAGCTAGTTAGCTTGTTAGAGAGATAGGCCGTGCCCCAACGTGGCTGATTCACCACATAGTTTAGATAAGCGTTGGGGTAAACAGCTATCTGTGGGAATCTTCTCACAGGCAGGTGGTTATTTTTGTGGGGTTTTATTTCCCCTCTGAACGTAATTAGTTGCTGCTTCTAGAATTAAGTGTACAGGCTACATATCGTTTAATGTTGCCAACTCCCTTTGGAATTCCCGAAGGACCTGGAACTGTACAGAGGGGCCTTTCGTACCTGGCCCAGGAGTCCATCCCTTGCTGGAGTCCCCAGCAAGCCAAAGGGATATTGTAAGATTTCTCTTGTTTTCTTTTTATATCATCTAATAACCCTTGCATTTATGCACATTAAGTGATTTGTGTCTTCTTGGTTAAACCTCTGAACCTGAGAGCAGTCTGGCTGGCCCAGCTTCTGAAGTAAAGCAGACTCCCATACTTTCCCCCTCCATCTTACCTGTGTGTCGCGGGGGAGAAGGACGGGGGTGCTGGGAGTGGTACAGCAGCTTATGGAGCTACTGTCAGTTTTGCCCCTTTCTCTGCAGTCCCCCCAAGTCCCAGCGCCTCCATAGAACTGCAGTGTCTCTGTGTACAGGGCTGGGGAAGTAGGGCTGGCAGCGCTGCTCCTTTCCCCCCTGGGAGGGGCCACGGGGAAAGGAGCAGAAAGCCAGCAGCTCCTTTGGCTGCTGTAGCGCTCCCAGTCCTGCCCTCAGGTCCCAGCCCTGTACTCAGAGATGCTGCAGCCAGTGGAGGGGCTGGGTATGGCTGGCAGGGAATCTTTTCGGAATGCCATCTAGACTAAAAATAATTTGCCAGTTTGGCATATCATACCGTACTGGCCCACTTGCAGCATTGCTGAAAACAAAGCAAACTGGAAGGCAAGGAAACCCAACAGCCTCCAAAAATTAACCGCCATATTAAGGAAATGGCACCAGCGACAAGAGGTGGGTTTGTACTCTGACATGTCCTGGAAGCAATTGTTGAGGGAATGCTGACTGATCTCCTCCAAGATGGTGCTTTGCAATATTGAAGAAGTCCTGCCACTAGGCTGCTCCTTTTGAAGCTAGAGATGAAATCAGACCCAGCTCAGATGTCAGATAGTGGTAGGCAGGAGCTTTAGGAGATAGGTGATCACTCAAAACTTTCTGTGGTCTGGAATCTAGATGATGTCTTTAATGTGATCCCCTCCAGAGAGGGGAGAGAAATAAAATGCAGTTGACATGCAATAAAGAGAAGAAACAAAATGTTGACTAGTTATAATCACTACAGATCAATTAGAATAATATAAAGTACTTGGGAATTAGATTTCACTCCAAACCTCAGATCTCAGCACCCCCTCACATTTTCATAGAACCATATAAGATTAGTGTGGGAAGAAACTACAGAAGGTCATCTGGTCCAAACCCCTGATCCAAGCAGGACCAACCCCAACTAAATCATTCCACCTAGGACTTTCTCAAGGCTGGCCGTAAAAACCTCTAAGGATGGTGATTTCGTCACCTCTCTAAGGGTACGTCTAGACTACCGCGTTTTGTGGACAGATACTGTCAACAAAACTTCCATTGACAAAGAGCGTCCAGACACATTGAGTTCTGTTGACAAAGCAAGCTGCTTTGTCGACAGAACTCCGTAGTCTGGATGCAACGTTACAGGCAATAACACCTTCTGTCGACAGAGTTCTGTCGACAGAAGGTGTTATGCCTCGTAAAATGAGGTATACCAGCGTCGACAAAACTGCTGAGTTCTGTCGACGTTATGTCAACAGAACTCAGCTGTAGTGTATAGTTTTGTCGACAAAAGTCCACTTTTGTCGACAAAACTAGGTAGTCTAGACACACCCTAAGTAACCCATTCCAGTGCTTTGCCACCCTCCTAGTGAAATAGTTTTTCTTAATATCCAACTTAGAGCTCCTCCATGGCAATTTGTTGCTTCTTGTTGCTGTCATTTAGGTGACCTTTCAATCTGTACAGTGAAGTTTGAGTTCAGTAATATTAAAATAATATTTGTCTAACTTGTCTGGCAAATCTAAAAATTGTCTCTTAAAAAACCTAAATTCCCTCTGAAATTAGCCTTTTCCAAAGACTTCCATGGGCTGTTAAAAAAAAATCAACCAACCTACCAAAAAAACCCTTATATTTCACGCCAAATCTTAGCCAGCAGGAAGACAGGCAGACAGACATGGACTTTGCAGTGACTTAAAACAGTTTAATGTAATTCCAAGACAAAGTGTGATTACATTTCTACACATATACAATATGCATATGTGAGTTTACAAATTCTGATTAATAACTCGTTTCACCTCAGAGACCGAAAAAATGATCAAAAAGAAACCGTGAATAACAAGCTATAACATAGTTCACCACAACGGGACCTCCTTTCTCACCCTACAGTTAGTAATATTACAATTAAAATAACTATATTCTTCTATAATGTATTTTCTGTTAAAATCATCTCATAAATTTACAATGCTATTATTAGTTTCCAAGACTAATATAAATTCACTCCATTTTTCTACAACGAAAATGATTATTAATTAGAAGCACACAACGTCATGATGAAAAACACAAGCATTTTTTTTTAGTAGCAAGAACTTGATTGGTTAAGAATTAGTTTTCTTGTAAAACATTCTAAAGCCAAGTAAAATATCCATTCTTATAACATACCTATAATATGAGACTAAGGAATAGGTTACATATAGGTCTACAACACATCAGTTTGTTTGTTTTTTTAAAAGAAGAAATACATATTTACCCAAAAAAGGGAAGGGAGAAGAAAGACAAAAAGGAAAAAGAAAAAGAAAAAAAGAGGGACAATTCACATAGGAAAAAAGCAGTACACAAGAAAATACTGTTGCATACAATTTTCACGAAGATTAACACTCAGATTACAGAAACCATACAGTGGAGGAACACAATAGATCAGGGCTTTCATGGGTTTACTGGGCTGAGATGACACTCCAGAGAAAGAACCATTCAAGATACTACATGGGGGGCCAGAGGGCATCTTTTTCCCTTGCATTTTTGATATGTTTGTGTTTTTTTCCTTTCTTCCTCTTTACAATTCTGGCACAGTATATACTAATTTCCACTTTCCATTCAGAGTACTTTGGGTTCGTGGACAGTCAAAAGGTATAAATCATTCTCTTTCTCCCTTTCATAATAGGATTTCACTATTTAAAAAAAAAATACTGTTTCACTTCTTAATTTTAATTAGCTACCCTGGATTCTTCACCTTCCAAGATGCCCCTTTCTTGCTTTCTCTCTCTCACTCTCTCTCTTTCACTCACTCTCCTTTTAATAAAGCTATTCATTATACTTCCTGTCTTTTCAGAAATTTGGTTTGCTATAGAATACACAAGCGACATTCCAATTCTGTCAAGTAGAATCTGATACCCAAAAATGCCTTGTTTGTTTATTGGTGAAACACATGGGATGATGAATACTTTCTACATCTGAAATGGCTGTGCCCTGGAATATCCATGGAAGTATTTTAAGAACACAAAAAAGCCAAAACCAAACAAATAAGGAACAAAGAAGACAGAAGTGTTGTGTGTAACCACCAAATGTGGAAGCATTGCAAAATGTTGGACTTCCCTTTTGAAGTGCTATATGTAACCATTCAGATTGTAAGGGATGCACATTGCCAGTATTAGAAACCCCTCCTTGCTTTTCAAGTTCCAAGCCAAAGTATTAAAAAAACTCCTTCAACCCAGTGAGCTGGTATTTCCAGGGCTGGCTCATGCCATAAAGAGTCAGAACAGGCTGTTGAGTCTGTGACCGTGGCTTATTAGGGGATGGACATTTTCCAGTTTGCCCATGGGCTGCTAAGAGTCCTCTATTTAATTCACCAAATGGCAACCCCAGTCTTGATAAGTTTATCGCTTTGTTAATGGGAGCTACAGTGAGAGTACTTAGCAATGACTGGAGCTACTGGGGGGGAGGGGAGCAAGGGCTAGGGACCCATTCTGCTCCCATTGAACTCAATAGGGAGCTCTGACAGTGATTTCAATGTGAGCAGCATAAGGGCCTACCAATGAAGGATCACTGTTGCTTTCCAGTAACTCATTCAGTTGCCAGGATCAACAGTGTAGCTGGGTCAGGCCTCACTGAAAGATGCAGGGAGCTTTGCTGATATTAATGAGCTCCACAGCTGAAGCTCAGTTCCTCAGACAGGTATTTTTAAAATGCCAAATCAAGTACTTTTGTTATCTAAAAATGCCGCTTTGCCCAGCAGAGATTCCACTGTGTTCACTGGTTACTCAACTGAAAGAAAACAAAGACAAAAACTAGACAGATACTCATGGTGAAGTGAGACTGATAAAAAGGGGTTACGTCAAAATATAAAATACACTACAACCCATAATAATCAAACAGCACCAAAGGGTACTACCTTTTGCTAATGAAGTTTGCAGAGAGATGGGTCAATGGACTTTGTATTTAGTTCACTAGTTCAGAATATTTCTAGGGTGGTGTCACTTGCATAAAGGGGTGAACAGAACGAAAGCCAAATCACAGCATTGCCTCTTAGAGTGGCTGTCAAAAAGCAAAAATAAAAAGCCAAAAAGGGATTCATTAGCTCAGGAATCAATAGTTCAGATAATGAGTTACGAACAATACAGTACATCCCTTCCTCTGAATATCCTTCATTCTCATTACACAGGTATCTTCATCCAAGTCCTACAGAGGATAGTTGATTTGGAAGTATTTTGCTCCATGTTTCAACCCAAGGAGATTCATTAAAGTTTGTTATTAAAAAATAAATGGCTCGTGTTGGATTATACTTCAATATGTGTGGAGTGGTTTCATAACCATACTTTGGAACAAGGCGGATTGTTTGATCTGAACTCACTTTCCAATACTATGTTATATCTCAAAACAGACACAATAAAGACACATCTGTACTTTTCATTTTTTGAAAGGGCAAAATTAAAAAAAAAAGAGGCAGCTGTATTGAGTTTTTGAAGGTGAAATTTAGAAACAGAAATTTCCCTTAAAAAGTACCAGTTTAAATGTAAACTATAAAACACTGTAATAACTATAAAATGTAGCCAGAAAACTGTTTAAGTAGCCACAGTCTATTATTCAGTTCATATTGGTTTAAAATGTGACTCATTAAATATCTTCTAGAAGGCCAAAGCATTTTACAGTAGCTATAAACATACATACTTACATGTGCATTTTAACAATTGAATACAATACATAAAAGAGTAATCTATTCCTTGGGGTTTTTTGTTGTTGTTGTTTTAAAGAATCACTGTCTTCAGAATTCAGTTAAGCAACAATGACCAGGGTGGGCATTTATCATTATTCCGCCCAGACAGAGTTTATAGTCTTTGAATCCCAAGTTCAAGCTGGCTACATGTTTTCAAAAAGGCTAAAACCAGGATGAATGCCCACATTTGAGGTAATTATTGCCAATAGGTCACAGTTTGTATAAGATAAGTGTATCTAAATCCTTCTTTAAAAAATGGAAGGTATTCTACCATAACTCTAGAATACCCTTTAAACCAATCAAAATCCAGAATCCTGATCAGGTGGGTTTGCTTCCAATGGAGTCAATGAGTTCTAGAACAGTAGATAAGATTAGAACACATATAGACCAACCTAGAACCTTGGCAAGCAATCCTGGAACCAGTCGTTAAAAGATTAATTAAAAAACAAAATATAAAAAAACCCTAAGAGGTACCATGTGGCTGATGAATAACATTTCTGATCAGAATTCCAGACCAAAGTTTTTCTAACTTCCTTAAACTTTTCAAATCAATATGCTGGGGAAGAAAAATCAAAACACATCTGCATGATCATCAACTCTATGCCAGCACTGCAAAAGCTCCTTGGCCATGTTCTGAAAGTGGAATACACTTTTCTTTTGCTCTCAGAATAGTTGGCCATCTCTTTCCATTTCAATGAAGAAACCTTTCTATTTTTATTTTTATTTTTTATGAAAGAAAAATTCCCTGGCTGTCAGACCCCCCCACAGAAGTATTTACAAGTTCTATGTGATGCTGCACATAATTCCCCCTGCAGCTAAAAAGTTAAGATCAGAGATGTCACAATATTTATCAGTGCAGTAAAAATATCATTTTTGGAAAAAATATACCTTTAGTATTGCCTTTCTTGGATTAACTATGACAAGCAAAAGATTAAAAACAAAAACTTCTATCTTCATACACACATGAAGAGTTTGTTATAGCAGCACTGCTAAAATTGGAAGGACAAGCTAACCCGTATGTGAAAAATGTAAAGTTCAATCTGATTCTAGAGATGCAGAAAGCAAAGCCTCATTGTATGTTTCATAAGACTCCTGAAAAGTCAAGCTAATTCCCCACTCAAATTTCACACTTGATGCAATACGTGTGTTTTCTTCTCCAATGAGAACATTTTGTGTTTGCTGAGATCAGTCTTGTCTGCTTATCTAGCGCTGCATCCAGCAAACATTTACATACTTGAGCAACTTCACATATGCGAGTGATTCCATGAAAACTCTCTGGGATCACTCTCAGGAGTAAAGTTATTCATGGGCATAAGTACCTGCAGGACCGAGGACCAAATCAGCCATCTGGTCTGAATGCTAACCCTGCAGTGACACTGCCGGATGCAATTCAGCAGCTTCAGGGTGGCAATAGCATATAGCAGCACCCTTTGAGGGGCTGGCATCGCAGCATGCAGTGGCAACATACTATATATACTTGGAACCGGGGGGCAGGTAGCATGGGCTGGGCCTCGTCTTAAAAACAACACTACAGCAATAAGCCGAGACACTGTAGTTTGCAGTAGTGTGACCACATATGCTGTAAAATACTGTGGCATAAAGGATGTTTTGCTCCACGTGACTGATACTTTAGGGCCTAGTCCTGTAGTCTTGACTTGGTCTACGTTCAGGCAAAATTCCTATTGGCTTCAAAGGGAGCTCTGCCAGATGGTGACAGCATACAGACTCAAGCACTGGATACACAGGGTCCCCTCCCATTTTCCTCTCTCTAAGAACTGAGACCTTAAAAGCAGAGGAATTAAACTGATCCTAATGCACAGGGCCAGACTCTAGAGAGGGAATTTGGAGCACTCCACACATCATGCACACTGCAAAGCTGAGGCTGTCTCTACAATACTGCAGAGCAGATTGGGGGATCAACAGGAATATGGCCCAAGTATACAAAACTACAGCTCCACTGGCCTAAACCTCCCCACAGGGGAAGGGAAACACAGTGGGTACAGAGGCTATAGTGGCCCTGGGCCTGGGTCACACTGGTGAGGGAAGGAGAGGATTATTTCCCCGATGCCTGCAGAATTCCCTGAATAAGGAACATTTATTTGGACCTTGCATTCACAGGTCTGGATCTTGGCCTGTAAGTAGCACTGCACACCCTTGGCCGGGCTGATTGCTAGCGCATGACAAACCTGCACAAAACTTTTACAAACAATTCTTCTGCGTTTGCCCAACTTTGTAGAGGCTTTGTCATTACAGGAGCTACAGCGCTGTATTGAAACTGACACACAGCGATTGCTAAGAGTCCTAAGGCAGGAGAGTTAAATGAGAAGCACGAGGAGCTTATGGAAGCTTATTTTCATTACACAGTTCACAACTGAACACCGTGTTGTTGCCACTGATAAGATACATTGTAATTACTATGAAGAATAATAATGACAGGAGCATAATGTTTTCGATGTCCCCAAAGTTTAGGATAGCAGCAATATTTTAGTGTGACTGAATTTCTCCATTCAACAAGCTAGTTAAGAAAAAGGAAAGGAAAGGAATTCCATAGCGTGTCATTATTGTCTGACAGTGTGGACCTGTAACTTAATTCTGAATCTGTAATGGGTAGGGTCTCTTTCTCTTTATTTAAATTTATTTATTAAGTTTCTTTGGTTAAAGAAAGAAAAGGGTTTTTATCTTCCCTTCAAGTTTGGTAATGGAATTTCTTTCAAACCAAATTCTGAGGCATAAACCCTTGAGAATATAAAAAAAGAATGACAGAGACAGAAGTGTCCCTTTGCTGGAATGTTTCTTGACAGAACTACTACAGAGAATGAGGGAGTTAAAAGTTTCCCCAGAGGATCAAATGTAGCCCCGGTATAAGCAGGTGCAAATCCAAAGAGGGGAATGCAATTGCGGTTGTTTCTTCAAACACCTGGATTTGACCCAATTTACACTGTGAAAAGTTCTAGCTCTTCCTTTGTGTTGTTTTGTTCTGCTCACGGTAACTAGTCCCTCCATGTCTTTGTAGATTCTGATTTCATAGCAGCACTTTGAATGTCCAGCTCTAAGAGAGGCAATGTCTGTTCATTTCTCCCATTTCCAGCATCATAAGAAAACAAGACACTGTGGTGGGAAAAGGGGTCACTTCTACGCTGTGCCAACCAGGAACCACCAGTAATACTTCCAGTACAGAACCATTTACTTTCTCCCTCACGTTTCCAAGCAGTTTGCTCCACACCCACAAAGAACCCCAAGCTCATTCCAAAACACATCAATCCTATTTTCAACTTCAAAGGTCTCTGCCAGCTAAATAATTCAGCTATTGTTACTTGTGTAGCACCGACAGTGTGCCAAGAATTTAGCTCCTCCACTAACATTGTCTGCCCCCTGTGTGGCTAACAGTACTGCACTTACCAAACTGTATTTTCAAAAAGAATGGGAGGGAAAGGCAATTTTTTGCTTCGCCCCTCTCTACCCAGGAGAAAACTCGGCCCACACCTTTAGCGTTGCGACAAAAACACAATTCAAACTGCAGATACACTGTTCATCCTTATTACAGCCCCTTCCAGCCCCATAGACTTAACCATGCTGGCATCAGAACCATAGTTAGCACAGCTCTTCTCTCCACACAAACAGGACAGACAACTGCCCCTTCCACTTTGCAATGCTGGCCTTCACATCACAGTAGGCTTTGTCACCCTCTTCCCACAGAAATCAGATTAATGCTTTAGTGAAAGAACAAGACAGACGTGCACAGGCAAAACACAATAAATAAATCAAACATTTTGCTAAGTGAGGTTAAAACCCACCCTTTCTCCCTTTCCTTGCTTTATCAGCCCCGATATTTTGACTTTAAGAATGCGCTTGAAGTCCATCCTTATTCAGCAAAGCACCCAAGCATGTGCTTCAACGTGCTACTGAATTAGGGCCTTTGCACACTCTACGCCCACAGCTTTAATAAGGGTGAGAGATGTAACTCCAAACATAAATATCATCATTCTATCTAACAAAACAACTTAATAAAATTCAATAAGTGACAATTAAAAGACCAGCTACACCAAGGAGGAGGGATCACAAGCCAAATACCTTGATCATATAGACACACCATTAGTCTTCAGAAATGGAAGAACAGGACAGATACCTGGCTATTGCTGCTGTTTGGTTTTAACATGTGTCTTCAATGTCTGTCCATGTTGTTTATCCAGTGACTGGACTGGGGGTCGCATTCTTTCCTCCATTCAGGTTCTCGAGCTTGGAGGGTTGATAAGACACCTTCTGAGGAGTGGGAGCCAACTATTTTGTTTTCCCTTCTGGGAAATTGAGCTCTGACACTAGCCCCAGTCTCAGTTTAATTAAAGGCCTGATGAGGACATGGCCTGGTCTTGGTCTCATAGAAGTGCCCCACTAAACATTAGCCACTACAATGTGATGCTGAGCTGGACTTTTTGAACGCAGGGGCCTCCCATACTTTTAATCTCGCTCTGATGCTAAAAAATGACTTAGGTTGCTGTTTGGTCTCTGCCTCCAAGAGAAAGTTTCTGGCATTGTGATAAAATGCATGTTCCATGGGGGACAATGCACCATCCCTACAGGACACAGCCACTCTCATGGCACATCCCTTCCCTGCTCTGCCTGTTCTCTCTGCACCCTTTACCATCTCAGAACAAAACTATCTTTCCTCTCTTTCTGCAGTTTTCAGACACTGCAACCCCCCTGATGCCACTGAGGAAGAGAAACTATTCATAATAAAATTAACAAAACAACAATAATAATAAAACTAAGAGAAAAATAAAACAAAGTGCAATTAAAACCCAGAGTAAAGTATCATAATAAAATAATAATAATAAATCAGAACAATCATACAGTAAAATAACAATATTATTCCTTTTAATGACACAAGCAGCATGACGCTTTCATTCCTGAAATGGTGAGATATGAGAGGAATGCAACGGAAACTTACAGGGAGGAAGGGGAATTTCTTAGCTTAGATAAATGGGAAAGGGTTGTCTTTCTGAAGGAAGAATGTAAGGTGCAAAGACTGCTGGGAGATCAGATACTGATTTATGTCACGTTTAGCGTGAGCAAGGGAGAGACAGAAAATAAAACGGTGCAAGGATATCTACACCATGAATCTGATATGGCAAAGATGAGGGATATTTGCTGGTTTGCCAAAATAAATCAATCTTGCCCAATCTATGCACACTGAGATCCATCCCTTCCTTCTTCCGGAAGGGCAAGTGCTCATGACCAGATATTACAGCTGTGCTTGTCTTTTTTTTACCAGCTTCTCTCTCTCAAGAGAAAGAGACCTTGTCCATAACTCCATCCAAGGTAATCATTCCCTCTTCACTCTGCCAACTGACCTGCTATTTTCTAGCATCTTGCATCACACCTTAAAACACCCTTTGCTGTAGTTTCAGGTAGATCTAGAGTGGCACTAAGTGGCCATGCAGACCTCATGTTTGATGGGAACACTCCATCAAACTTTTTCTTACTGGGCTCTTCTCCCTTCCCCTACAACTACACATGGTTTATTAGAGCAATTCTAAGTATGGATGCAATGGTGCTCCCATTTTTTATCACATTTTCACTATTAACTCTCTCAGCTCTAAGAAAGCCTCTCTTTGGAAACCTACCTGAAAACAAGTACTGTTCAGAGTTCCTTTGGAGCTGAGGACCCAGAATAAGAATTTTTTCACCAAATACAAACAGTATTTTACTTCAACTTTTATACATGTCGGATGAGGAAGGGGGAAAGAACACAGTCAGAACTACATTACAATGGGTAGGGTCCTGATGTCTCATACCTTTCTCTTTTAACTTAGGAAACTTCAGTTTGACTCTCTAGATTGAATTCTCTCATTCTCTTCTCCCTCCACCCCACCATCTATGAAATTCTAATAGAAGCATCCTTAAGCATTGCCCCTCTCCTGGATCAAATCCTCATTCCCCCTTCTCTCAGACACAGTACTTGGGCAATGTAACACTCTAGATATTTGTAGAGGAAAGATGGGAGGAATCTCTCCTTTCAATCCCTAAGAATTTTACCAAACTGCAGAATGAGAATTAAACTTCAGATGGGGAAATTTTTTATTCCAAGGGGGGGGGGGAAGCAGACCTTCAAACAAAACCTTAGATCCTTTGGGAAGCGACACTAGAGTCTTCTGACCAATCTGGTCACTGCTAGTCCATACAATGTTAAACAGATATCTGGGTGCATGTCCTTCCATCCTCTAAGCCTTCCCAACAACTGCACATTGGCAAATGGCCAAAGAGCAACAACAGAAGTGGAAAAATAACCTAGAAGAAGAAAATCAACACCACCGCAAAAAAAAAAAAAAGCTCAGATTAAATTCTGACTAGCCTCAGTCAGTTTCTAGGAGTACCAGTGGAAGTAAACCCTTAAACCGCATTTGTAGTTCGGTAAGGCACTACGAGGGAATGATGTAAAACTAAGACTGTGACAGTTGTAATGGCTGTGCTGAGGAAAACACCACAGAGAAAAGGCAGCATCTGCGCGCACGCACACACGCATACATACCTGGACAATCACATTTGTTACATGCCTATGTAATATCTTTTTTTTTTCCTTTTTTTTTTGTTTTGTTTTTGTGCAATCACATTGAGGAAGTCTATTGGTATCATTGAAGTTCAACACAATGTAGTAAAATGGGTGTACGTACTGTATAGTGCTACATTCTACCAAGGGGCCAGCTAAATTTTCTACTCCTACGCTAAAATAGCTAGGGATTAGAAAGAAAATTTCCAAATAAAATAAAACAAAGAAACTGAAATCCAACATACACTATTAAAGACATTTTTTAAGAATAACCCCTCTCAGGGATTTATCCAGGGTGCTCACAGAAAGGGGAAATAGCCCCAAATGCTTCTGATCTTCTCAAATGTTATGTATTCTGCTTTGTGTGTATGCATTTTAAGCATATCAATGCTTGGTTTGAAATCTGGAGTGGTGGAACAATCCCTCCTTGCCCCTCCTTCATCCCTGTCTGTAATGCTCCATTTACTTTCCCCGTGGAAAACACGTTACATACCTTTGGGTTACAGAGACCAGTGCAAAAATGGGGCATTATCCCTTTGAAATTCTGGATAAATCCCTGAATTGTAGATTTACTGAGTGAAAAACCGAATGGATTTTGTTTTAGGTGTTCTGGACAACAAATTCCTAAATGTAGCTCATTATCAGATGAAAATAATCTTTAAAAGTCTATTGATGAAGTTCTCCAAAAACAGGACCCAGCTGTTGGTCCTTTCCCCTCCCCCCACTTCCCAACAGTTTGGTGCAGAATGGTTTTGTATTTTGTGTTTTTATTTTTCTCACTCTTTTTTTTCCTTTTTCTTTTTTTTTTAAATAAAAAGTGTAGAATTAGTTCTCTCCTTTTCTTCCTCATTTGTCCCTTAAAGTCTCCTTCGTTCAAGTTTCAAGTGAGCCTCCTATTGCATTGTTTGTCATGTTCTTCAGTATAAAAACAGCCACCTCACTCCCTCTTTGTAGATTTCTCTTTCGCTCTCTTTTATTCCAGTGTTTAGATGTAAGGGTACTGGTTGACCTTGGTGGGGCTCAGCGGGTATCCAGTGTAGACTGTAGAAGCAGGAGAAGCACTGATATAGGTCTGGTGGGCAAACTGAGCCTGGTACTGGCTTGGGTGGATGGTGGGTGATGGCAGAACCCGAGGGCCCATGCTGACAGGAACCTGGTGGACGATGCTGGCTGGGTAAGTGGTGTGTTGCACAGCATGACGAGCGGACCCTTGGGAGGCCACCAGATGAGCAACGGTGCCTGTGGAGCCCAGAGCAGCGGGGGCGGTGTACGTGTAGAGGTGGGGCTGGGTAGGGAGGTGAGCCGCTGCAGCCGCAGCCAGGTGGGGGTGAACCGTACCATGGCTGGGACTATTGTGTGGGAAGGAGTACGGAGCCTGAGCTATTGTAGGAGTGATGTAGGCTTGCTGTCGCCGGTGACTCCCTGTGCGATCAGTCGCGATGTGCTGCTGGGCCTGCACAAATAGAGCACAATACAAGGCAGTTAGAAGACAACAGGTTGTGCTTTTCCTCTAGCCCCTGAGTAAACTCAGAGGCCCTTTCAGAGCCAAGGTGATTTCTGTGATGGTTTTAGAGGCACCCAGGATTGCAAGCAGCGTTCCCTCTAATTTTTTCCGTTCAGATGTGGAATAAATGTTGTTATGTGCACCAACGCACGTGCGAATGTGCACCTTCATTAGAAACACATGCTGCCACCTGTGGGCGCTCTGCTAATCAGGTGGGTGGCATTTGAGTCTCTCCTAGGTGGCGTCCAAGTGCTCAGCTTACAGGGAACAGTGATTGCAAGTCACCTTGGGAGCCTCATGCCTTATAAGGGGGAAGACCTGCTTATGCTTGAGTAGGAGTCTGCTCCCAAATCCCTCCAGCCGTTTCACATCTAAGCATCTTCCTCTGGGCTACGGCAGCCCTTCCTTTGCCTTGCAGATTAACAAAAGGTGCACCCTAGGCCTTGAGCCCTTTTGAAACATTCCTCTGTAGTGTTCAGCCCCTCCGCCACTGAACACTTACCAGAAATACCGGGTTTGCTTTCCCCGGAGTACACACTAGCTTAAATGATCCTACTCAGGATGAGCTCCTTGTATAAGACTACAGCACTGAGATATATTTATAGAAAACAACAATAAAGTGGGGGGGGAGCAGGGAGAGTGATGACGAGAGGATAATGGAAACAAAATGGTTTCAAGATTTCTAGAGCCTAAACTTAACCTTCTGTCTAAAGAATTCTACCTCCTCACACATGGTTCTTCCAGCATTTCAACCCACCATGTTTGGTTGTGATTCCATTTTCAGAAATGCAATCACACTGCTCAATTATTTCCTCTCTGCAGGATAATGGGGATGCCTCTCTTGCTTTCTTTCTCTCAAACTTCATTGTCTGTGCCCCGCCACTGGATAAACTGCTGTGATTTATTCTCCAGCGTGCTGCTTCCCTCTTGATTTCGGGTAGCTCCTCTTGATTTCATATGTAAATAGGGCTTCCTTTGTGTTGGCTTTCAATGCTTAATTTACATGCTGACAGAGTGAAAAGTCAAGAAACATCTTTTGTATGACAGAAACCCTGTCTGTCAACTCTGCCTTGATTCCGACTTCAGAATGTATTTCTGATATATGAACATAACTCTTTACTGTTGTGATATGTATGTACAGACAATGTGTATTAATAATCCAGTGAGACTCTGTCTTTCATTTAAGACCTCACTTGGCATTCTTTGGTGAACCGGAACATACACATCAGGATCAGGATTTTGAGGAGTTCCTGGGTCACGATTTCTCCTGTGTTTTCCCCTTCCCCTCAAATCCTTAATATCAAAGTAAATTTCCGTTGGAAGCATCAAGGCTGCAAACGGTCCCTTAAAAGCCTATGTTCCATGAGTCCACCCAAGCAGCTCTCTGGAGAACATTACAGCATTCCATAAGCAGCTAACATGAAGACCCCCACAATCTTGCATTGCAGTGATGCAGTGTTTCTGCTGTGGAAATCATGGCTAAGCTCAGAGAAGCCTTTTTAAAACTTGACAGTGAATGTAATATTGATGAAAGATGCTGAACTGTGAAAGTCCTGGAATCCAGCATGGGCACAGGCAGTTTTACTGATTTATGTAGTTATTTAATAATAGTGGTCTTTGCTGCTCTCACCTCCTTGGTGGACAGCATAACATACTCCCCCACCAACTCTGGGCCCCAACAAGTCCTGAAGACTTTCCCGTCTCAGAATTCTCATGTAATCATCTGTAACTTCTTGAACAAAGTTAACTTCTGTTCTTGTCTTAGGAGAGAAAATATGATTCTTCCAAACACTAGGGATTTTCTAAGCTGGTTCCTTGCATGATTGCATGATAGTGCTAATGCATTTCTTCAAGTCAGTTATGACTATTGTACAATCAGATAGTCAAAGTATTAAAGAACCAAGAAAATAGGAACTAGTAAACAGCTGCCAAACAAGAATGTCTCTGCTCCATCTTACTTACTTCTATTTTTAATTCCCCTTTATCATTTTGCTAAATCCTTCTTCTGTAATCTTTAGGATCCTAAATTCTGCAGCTGAACTACACTCTCATTCTTGGAAGCAGGATGCCATCATCTCCGACTTTCACCAGTTTCCCTCACTTTCATTCCCTCGCTTTTCATTGACAGCTGGTCATTTTTTTTTTCATGTTTTCAGCTACAATTTGAAACATGGGTTTTGCCTGAGACTATTTTTTGACCAGCTTTTCTTTTATTCATCTCGGTATCAAAGTCAATGCTGCCCTCTGAGTTCTCAGAGCTCCCCCTCCTGAAATCTTGGCTGTCCCCTCCTGGCTGCCATCACCTCAGAATAGAGAAGAGATGGGTCTCAGCTGTAGTAAACACAAAGAACATTCTTACTGAGAATGCTGGGAAGCACTGGGCTTCTTCGGCTCTGACTCAAAAACACATCTGGTGCAGCCGGTTGTTACCCAACATGGGCTGCCTAAATCCTGGCCCAGATTCGAAATGGACTGCATTGCATCTATGGCTGGCCATACTTTGTATGCCAACTCCACTTGTCAAAACTGACTGGAAATATCTCTCATCCTGACAACCAGTCACACCCTCCCTTCAAACCTCACTCGAAAAGCTTTGTCTTGACATGTGACGGTAACTGAGATCAATCCCCTTTTTTACATCCTACCCCTTCAGACTCTCCTATAATCAACACACAGACCTCTTGATCTACGTTACTGCTCTTTCTCTCAAGGTTGAACATTTTGGGTACGTCTACACTACAAAGGAAGATCGAAGCTGCCGCTGTCCATCTTCCAGGGTTTAATTGAGCAGTTTAGTTAAGACAGCTAGTTCGAAGTGAGAGGGGCACTCTGGTCAATGCCAGTAGTCCTGCTTCCACAAGGTGTAAGGGAAATTGAAGGAAGAGTGTTCTCCCGGGCTACCTCCAGACTGCATCCCTCTGTCGGCAGCGGAATGCAAATAAATCACTTCAAAAGTACAAATGAGCCCGGGATTTAAATATAAAAAAATAAGGAGTACAGGATCTGTCGAAAAAGCTCCCCGCTGTTGGCAGAACCGCGGCTACACAGCACTTTCACTTTCAAAATGGCACGTGATCGGCACAGCGCCAGAACATTGAGTATGCAAATGAAGCCCGGGATATTTAAATCCCTGGCTCATTTGCACTTTTGAAGTGCTTTATTTGCATCTCTCTGCCGACAAAGGGATGCAGTCTGGAGGTAGTCCCTGCGACTTCCTGCTGTGTAGACAGCGTCAAAAGACGAGTTAAGCTACTTGGCTTCAGCTACGCAATTAATGGAGCTGAAGTTGCGTATCTCAATTCTACTTTGTCCTGTAGTGCAGACACACCCTTTGGCTTTTGAGATTCTTTGAATGTGCAATGCCGTGACCCTCGGTCATTAGTAGTGGGAATCGGACCATAGGACTTAATGGTTCTAAAAACACGAGCCCCACTTCTCTGTGCTGAAAGATTTAACCCTGTCCCATGCATCACTAAAAGGCAAGAGAGTACTATACACAGAGTGGATGTAGATTACATAAGGTTAGATGCTATCACAAAATACACAGTAGACGGCACATTTTTGTGGGTCCTACTTGCTGCCTCCTTCCAGAATTGCTTACCTGGCTGAGATTAAGAGGCTGCTGCTGCTGGAAATGTGGTCCTGGCCGCTGCTGCCTATAGGCAATGGCTCCAGACGAGCTCCCTGAAGAGTGACCGCTGGTGGAGGTCATGATGTTGGAGGACTTGGACTTATAAGAGGATGAGTGGTGACTGGTGGGGACTGTGCCAGGAAAGAAAACATATTTGTTCTTAAGTAATGTTTTACATCCTCTAACCAACCCTTCCCTCACTGAATCACCTCTGGTGCCTTGTGGAAGGAGAAGCAGAAGAATTCAAAATGGCTCCTCCTAGCGATAAGAAGATATAGACTTAACAGGATCTCTAGGAGTTCACAAATATGGGCCTGCCAGTTGCCCCATAGGCAGGAGTACAAACTCCACTAAGCAAATCTCTAACTGGGTCTGGAGGCTGTTTATAGAATGCTCAGGCATGCCAGAAAGCGTTCTGCTTGGAGAACAGCAGGAGCAAGTAGGCAAATGCCGAGGGCAGAAAGGGAAAGACAGCGGCCTGAAATGCAGAGCAAGGAACCCCTTACTCTGGCCTGCCCCACTGTGAACAGAGAGGGAGAACAAGGGAGAGCCCATACTCTGAGCCCTGGTGCACAGTCTCACAACTGCAGCGTACAAAACAAAAGAACAAGCACACAGCTCAGAACCCAGTGCCACAGGCCAGAGCCACACAAGAGGGCCTTTTTTGACCCAGTGTTTTCCAGAACCGTGGAGGCTCTGAAGGTAAGTGAGCAAGCTTGACATGTCCAGTCCAGTGGAGCCTGTTCTCCCCAGAAATATTAGCAGGTTTGGATGAAAAACAGTTCCATGATTTCAGTAAATATATAACTCCACATGGCAGGTCTGGCTCACACTAGTGATATTAGAAGGGCATTACAATATCTGAACAAGGGGCCAAATTCTGCTCTTGGATGGTCACTCACATATAGGGCTGTTGACAGAATTTGTCAGGCCCCCAGCCAAGGTGGGAGGGGGTAGCTACAGTGCCCTAATAGGGGTGGGGCTGAGGGCTAATCTCCTCCAGCCAGACTTTGAGTGCTGTGTGGCCTGTGTCACATGGGGCTGTGATCATTTTAAAGGGCCCGGGGTTCTGACTGCTCCTGCCGCAGCAGTGGCCAGGAACCCCGTCCCGTTTTAAATCACCAGGCCCCGGGGCAGCTGCCCTTTTGATCTCCCCCAAATCCTGCAGTTGATGGCCCTGTGAATGTTACGAAGGAAAAACTTAGCTGTTATGACTCCAAGCTCTGCAACATGTTGTTAATGCACCATGCCCCCTAAAAACAGCTGTGCTAAAAAACATGACCCCTAAAAACAGTTGGGGTACAGAAGGGACACAGCATCTATTTTTTTAAAAGAACCCGAAGAGTGAGATTTTTCCAAGATTATGGTTTACTTTTTATTATTTTCTTAAGGGAAAAAGTCCAGTTTACCTGGTACCAGGCTATCGCATTCTACCAACACCTCACTGGCCTGGGTTTTCAGCGGTGGCACAATTATAGTCCGGGGATTCCCGCTGCAGTGGGTCTCTGGTACCCCTTTTGTATCATACGTGTTCCCATTATTGTGTGCCCCACGGTGCTGCACTGAATAAGGGCTGTTGTTACTGGAGGAATCGGAGTAGGGAGAATCGTGCACAGTGACGCAGCTGATGACGTTTTTTCTTTGCTTGGATAGGGTGCTGAAAATCAAAAACATGGAAGATAGTGAACGGGCAAGAACTGTCTAAATACCAGCATTCTGTTCCATCCTCAGCTGGCTCCTTCCACAATGGTGGGTGCTCACCAGCTTTCAGTTAAGCACATGCTACAGGGCTTTCAGAGATCCGGGCCACCTAAGCCAAATCCTGTTCTTCTAAACTTACTTCTTACTATTCAGGCAACCTCCCATTGAAGTCACGTGAGTTTTGTCTGAGCAAGGAGGGAGTAAAACCCTGGGTATGGGTCTTATAATTGACCTTACATACACAGCTTAGTATAGTGCTCAGACTGCTAGACTTATTTCAAGCTATTTACTATCTCTCTGCAGGAGAAGCTCAGAAGATCACACTACACTAAGTTGCATCTCACCACCCACACAAAAATGGAGAATCTCCCCCTACCCTTCAGCAAGGATTTAATAATAGATGTTACAGTGAGGTTTCACATATTTAAAATTCCATTTTTACAAAATAAAAAACACTATATTTATTAATACACCACAGAGCCTATATATTCATAAACACTTGTTGAATCCTTGGGTTTTATTCTCTTACTTGTTAATTCACAACATTCAGTAATTCACAACAAGTCTCCTGACATTCATGCGAATTACTGAGGTCCTGCTGCACCTAATCTATCTATGGCATCAAAGAAGTGATTAAAAAGGAACCTCAACATCAACATTTCCAGGATTATTGCTAGAAGTTCATTAGGCTAGACTGCACTCGCACTGCTGGGATTCGCTCCACAACTGTGTCTAATTATTCCTGATGGTTTATCCTTCCCCTTACGAGCTTGTTTAGAGAAAAAAAGAGAGAGAAGAGGGGGATGGGGAGAGAAGGGGAAGATTTGCTTAAATGGCTCATATCCTTGACAGCGCACAGACCTTGACTACAGAAAATAGCTGCTATGTTTCACTGATTGCATTATGTTGTTATGGCAACTGAAGTTTTTAAAATGATGAAAAGAAATGGATAGCGCTTAAAGAGCTAAGTAATTAGACTCAATAGTGGAAACAGCCCCAACAGGAACAAAAACACCACACAGAAATAGCAGCACATCTCTTAACCTCTTGAGCACCACTCTTTCTCTCCCTCCCTTCCCGCCCCCACTTTTGTTCCCTTCCCCATTGAGGCTCAGTTCAATTCCTTCTCTCGGACACATCCTTAACTCAAAAGAGGATCCGATTATTCTAGATTCAGCCACTGATGAGCATTTTGCCTCTTGCCTCAGAATTATAACTTAATGTAGGCAAATGCTGCAGACCTCCAGACCAGCTTGCAATAACAGGCAATTTGTATTTATTTGTGCTTTTTTTTTAAACAGTGCAAAAAAAAGGGAGTTATGCCTCTTCAACAGCATTATTGTTTTCACGACATTTCCCTGGTAAAGAGCCTTTCCAACAGCTTCCCTGGGTGGCAACAGCCCAGCTTTTCCCTGGCTTCTTGGGTTTTGAAAGCCTTTAATTCATTTTTTGTTCTTTACATGGAAAATCCACTAATGTACTGCTTTAAAAAACAAGTTCTCCAGGGCCTGATCCTGCAACTCTTTCTTAAGTGCGTAATCCTCACTCACTGTGCATCTACACAGCATCATAAATTCTAAATAAGATACGCAATTTGCACTATGCAAATTGTGTAGCTTATTTCGAGTCTACTTTGAAATAGGCTATTTTGAAATTTGGCGCTCTCTACACAGCACCAAATTTCAAAATAAAGTGCTATTTTGAGCCATCCCTTGCTCCTTGTACAACAAGGTTTACGGGGATGGCGAAACAACGCATCCTTTATATTTTGGAATAGTGGACACATTCAAAAGATATGAGGTAGCTATTTTGGGATACCTCTGGTATCCCGAAATAACTTTGATGTGTAGACATACCCTCAGTTTGGGTATTTCAGCAGGTTTATGATTATTGCAGGGCCACATGGGAAGCCCAGGCGTAGATCAGGATTTCATTGTTCTGGACACAGTACAAACCCCATAGTGACAGACAGTCCCTGTCCTGAAGCACTTACGATTTCAACAGACAAGACGGATAAAGGTTGGGAGAAATGGTGACTTCATTGTACAGATGGGGAACTAAGGCTCAGGGAGAGTAAGTGATCACAAAGGAAGTCTGGAATAGAGCACAGAATTGAGTTCGCTCTTACGATGAGTAAGAACTTCTTTTAAGGGTTTGCAGTTACAGACTGTTATATTCTTCAATTTAATCCACTCTTCCATCAAGCGATGGACAGGGTGCTACGTTTGAAAAGAAAAGAATAATGGTGTGTCTTTGAATGACAACTGACTTTATTTGAAGGAAGATATAACAGTTTTGATATGGTGCTGCAAGATAGAACATTAAACTGATAAAAAAAGGCTATGTCATCCATATTCCATCTGCCCAATAGAAACGCTATAGTTTCACATTTACGAGTATCTGTACTATTCGCCCTTTGCAACTGCCCTTTGCTGCCTGTGAAGGAGAGACATATGTTCTCCAACACTGAGAGTTATTACTTTTTATAAAGAAAAATCAAATCATGGAATGGTGCTCTGACAACCGATAAGGTTCTGGCTCTTTCTTTTATAGCCCGTTCCTTACATACGGGACTTAGTGGCTGAGCTGTAAACATTTGTTCCTGGCTCATACTTGGTATGCTAGGGGCTCGGCTATAGGAGTGGAAAATATGAAATCCAGGTGCTTTATTATTCTAGAATTTTCATATTTTTTGCCATTTTGATTGAGAGATCAAGAAGGCAGGGTCATTTTATTGTTAGATGTTTGTATACTGCCTACCACAACAGGGTTAGAGTCCCCAGCCTCTTCTTAGTGCAAATAATAATAATAAGAATGTTAGAAATCCTTAGTTATTTTCATTTGCTACAGGAATTAAGTTGACATCAGAAAGAATTGTGCTTCCATCAGGAAGTTTTCTTCCTCAAGGTGCAGTGGTTTACAATGAGAGCTAGAAATCAACCCTATAAAATGAACAAAACCCCAGGCTTGTCAAGAGAGAAAGAGGAGAATTATTATCTTCATTTTTCAGATGGGGAAATGAATGACACTAAAGCTCCAATCCTGCAACCACTTATGCACATATTAACTTTACCACTATGAGTAGTGCCAATGAAGTCAATGAGACAACTCCAGGTAGTAATGTTAAGCACATACGTAAATGCTTGCAGGATCATAGCCTAACCGTTCAGCAAGTGCCTAACTTTAAGAAAATGAGTAATCCCACTGAAAATCCAAGTTGATATTTTTTATAAAAGGTAGTAACTATAATCAACATTACAGCCCATACATCTTTCCACAGAGAAGCCAAATACTGATAAATTTACAACTAGGTAACTTCATAAGTAACATTCTGAACTGGGGCCAAAGAGATTCAGAGTGGGATTTTCAAAAGCATATAAGGTAGTTAGGTGCCCAACTTGTACTGGAAATAAATTGATTTGAGTGGAATTACTCTCAGGCACTTAATTCAACAGGGTTTTTGATAATTCCACCATGAAACCAAGGCTACAGAGGCGCTCCCATTTCTGAAAACCTTCTGACTTGCAAGAGATTGTTCTCTTTTCTGATTCCCCATGAGAGTCTGACATGGGTATCCAGTCCATGGCCTGCTATGTTTCAGTACTGGACCTGGCAGATTTATGTGAATCTGGGAAGGGGTGTTAATTCCTGTCTCACTGAAAATCAAAGGGCCTCTGCATCCTGTCACGTCACTACTAATAGAGAGGTAGCTGTGTTAGTCTGATCTTGCTAAAACAAAAGGAAAAACTATGTAGCACTTTAAAGACTAACCATCTTGTTAGTCTTTAAAGTGCTACATAGTTTTTCCTTTTGTTTTAGCAAGATCAGACTAACACAGCTACCTCTCTATTAGTAGTGACGTGACAGGATGCAGAGGCCCTTTGATTTTCAGTGAGACAGGAATTAACACCCCTTCCCAGATTCACATAAATCTGCCAGGTCCAGTACTGAAACATAGCAGGCCATGGACTGGATACCCATGTCAGACTCTCATGGGGAATCAGAAAAGAGAACAATCTCTTGCAAGTCAGAAGGTTTTCAGAAATGGGACGCTGAGCCGACAAACAGCTGATCAGCTGTTTGTCGGCTCAGCGCGGCAGCCATGTAAATTTAAATGAAGCGGCGATTATTTAAATCGCCGCTTCATTTTCCTACGTCTGGTAGCCTAATCTACATGCCTCTGGCGACAGAGGCATATAGTCTACATGTACCCTATGATAGCCAAGTTGGCTGCCTGTCTGTATTTCCCTAGGACAACAGCAGCTTTTTGTGGAAGTTCCAGGTTACTCAGAAACATAATTAAACATACTGATGTGGCCTGTACCCTTCTTCTTACACCTGCGTATATTCATGCCTGCTGCCTGGACAGAAGCTCTCCCGGTTGCAGTCCTAAGAGCACATGCATGGAGTCTCAAGAGAAGTGGCAATCCACCCTCACAGATTAATGACACATCCCTTCTGCAGCCAGGACTCCAGTCCATACTGTCATGCTGCTCTTAAGAGTAGCAGCTTCAAAAAATGCCTTTTAAGATAACTAGTCTTATTAATTATAGAGCACTACAACTCTGCCTACTGTTTTTACCAAGTGCACAAAGTGCCCTGCCCCTACTCAGCAGGAGATCAAACTCAGACCCAGAACAGGCCACGTCCAAAGAGGTATGGAGACATGGAGGAAGCCTGGGCATTCAAACACCCATGGACAGTTTCTTCTAGTAAGTGCTGCCAATATGCCCTCGGTGCAGCTGAGAGAAAGAACTGTGCCCCTTTTCCAAGAGGAGATCAGCACAACAAGGCTTGTGGGGTTTCAGAAGGGAGTTGAAGGAAGAAAGGGAACGTGCTTGGTGCACTGGGAGAAGTTATGAAGCCCGGTGGAGGAGTGGCCTGGCTAAATGGCGGTGTGAGCTGGCCCTGAGGCAGTGGTGCACAAACTCCTCCAGTTGCATCCCCTTTACTAGT